AAGCTTGGGAGGTTCAAAGAGCACCAGAGAGTGTGTGTGTGCATGCATGCCCATGTAATACAGGGAGAACTAAAGGTAGGTTTGCAGTTAGCAGGACTGGGAGATACCTGAAAGGAGCTAGCTGAAGAGGGTACCTCATTAGAGCTTTGGCTGCAGGACCTCCAGCAATCACCTGGCTATTGTTTTTAGTTAACTCATGCCTGGGCAAGGGTTAATAGAGCAAACACTGAAAAAGCAGGGACTTTTCAGTCGTTTCAGAAAAAGGGTGTGCATGCCTGTTAAAAGAGGTATGCAGGTAGGCTTGTAGAGGTCACCCCAGCAGGAAACCTGCCTCGCATGCTGAGGCAGCAGAACAGTTAATTGTATTTGCTTGCTTTTAGTAACATTTGTTATTCTTTTTATTATCTGACAGGTTATATTGTGGTAGAATATGAAGGTCCTATTGTTCATACAGCACCCAGCACACAAATAGCAAGAGCTGATCTCAGTGTCAGGGATCTTGCTGGTGGAGCTGGGGTAGAAAAAAAAAAAAAAAAAAAAAAGAAAGCCACAAATCATAGCTAGAAGGGAGCGGGGGGCGCAGAAAGCAATGATGAGAAATGCATGCATGTATACACAAGCGCACATGCGCTCCTTCATCGGGCATCCTCCATTGCGAACACTGAACAAGAGGCAGACCTGCAGCAGCGGGGTCCTGGCGATCTGTTGTGTCCAAAAATTGAGTAGAATATATGGAAAGATCCAAGGGCCAAGAAACACAGCTCTGTGTGTACCTTCTGTGCAGTTAGCATAGAAAATTTATGGTGTGAGATTTGTATGAAGAAAATCCAGTTCATGGTATGTTTTTGTGCTATTATTTAACAGTAAGTAGTTTTCCAGCTCTGTGAAACTTCTGTAAGCCTCAAGATTAACAGAGTATTTATTTCCTCGTCTTTGGGACAGTGAGTTAGAGGTAAGTGGGAGAATAATCCCCAAGGCTTCTGCAGCTGTGCAGGCAAGGCAGCATGTCTGCTGCCTCAGAGCAGTGGTTTGAGCTCACGGCTGAGGAGATGGTGCTTCCTACCTGGCAGTGCATTTCTGCCCTCCCAACTGGGGTGCCTCAGGCAGGTGGGGTTTTTTTGTTTTCTTTTGTTTTTTTCTGGCTGCTCTCAGGGCCGGACTTGCTCTCAGCAGCCCTTTCCACTTTCAAAAGCTTGTTTGCTGGTGACAGGCAGCGCAGCAGGGCTTCCCGGCTGTCCGGAGCCGATTGCCACCGCTAGCTGTGACTCAAGGCGTGGGGAGGAGCGGCTGTGTTGCCCAGAAGGTGGATGGGGCGAGTGGGTGGTTTCAGTAGGTTTCCTAGAATAACAAAGAGGATCCTGCGCAGACGCGTGAAGCCAAGTCAGTAAAAGTGGCTCCAAACAAGACTGCCAGGATCGCTAGACCCAGCAGAGAGCAAAAATTTCAGCTCTCCCTTCTTCTTTTGCTCCCCTTGACTTTTCTGCCACGTTTCTCCAGCCTTCTCCTACCTGTCTGTCAAATCTCCTTCCAATTTACTACTTTGAAGTAAGAAGATACGATACTCCTGTGCAGTATATGCAGCAAATGCAACATAAAGCTGTTTTCTGATTATTATATTTTGATGGATTGGTTTTTCTGTGAAGAATATAGTTTGTGAATCCCATTGCAGTTATTAAAAGCATTCATAATCCTGCTTTCTTATGAAATGGCCTAATGCATCCATAGTGGGCTGCTGGTTGTTGCTGTTCCCATATGCGGTTGTGCTGCTTATGGTATTATGCTTATTGGAGTTCATGTAGGACCTGAAGGGTGCCTTGAGAAAATGTCTGCACTTGTGTCTGCTACATGTGCTCTATTAACCCTTCATGGTTCATGTCCTTGAGGAGCTGAGGTGTCAGCTCTGCCACTGATGACTAATGGCAACGTTTTGCAGACTCGCCTCACTTCAGCATGTCTGAGGCCATGATGTGATGGAGATGGCTTCAGCAGAGAAGTTGGAGTGTTGGCTGTGGGGCTTACTTTTCCACCAGGTCCTGTGTGACTCTTGCAGCAATAAAAATATTCTCACTGATATTGTTATCCTGCCAGGCTTTTTAATAATGCAAAGTTTAGAAGATTTGTGGTTTGCTTTTAATTTCATTTCTGTTTCTTAGAAATGTAGACCCAGTCACCCTCTTCTATCTTCAAAATGTGCAAAGAGATGCCCAGTTGAGTTATTCCGGGATTATCCATGATTTAAAGCAGGACTTTCTGATCTGCTTTGGGCTGATGGAAAACAAAACAGAACTGGCTTCAGAGAAGTCGTGCAAGAAATAAAAGTGCAGTCTGGTAGCCTTTGAGTTAGATCTTGGGCTTCCTCCTCAATTCAACACAGATTTTGTAATGTGACCCAGGGCCAGTCACTAGCTCTAGGTATCTTGCTTTGTTTGCTTTCCAAATATGAGAAGGAGGTTCATGGGCATTCACAACCTTCCTGACATAACTTGCTCTCATATGTGATGATGATGTAGCATTTGAAAGCACCTCTGTTCTCATTTGCCCCTCTGGAGGAGTGAAGAAGCCTGGCTGCAAAAGGGAGCCAAATAAATGCACCTCTTCTCTCGTAATACAACGCAGGCAGTGGAGTGAAGAAAGTAGTGCCAAAAGGATGTACTTCAGGATACAGGGCCCGTTTTCAAATAAAACTGCTCTTATTTGAAAAAAAAAAACAACCCACTTTTATTTCTCAGAGGAATAACAATAAAAAGCAATAAAAGGTGCTTAATGACTTTTTTAAAATAAATAAATAAATAAATAAAAGCTTCCAAATCTGGAAGGAAACCAGGCCATCTTGAAAAAAGAGATCCCAGACTTTCACAATACATGCATCCGTCCAAAAGGCCATTGCCATGAAAGTATTTACAGCTGCACTATTATCCTGCTCCATCCCACAGCCCCGGCGCAGAGCAAGGCCAAAACACAGCAGTGGGAGCTCGGCAGCTGTTGAGCAATGCTTTTCCCAAGGAAAGATTCCGCTACGCTATTTGTAGTCATGTAAGCACAAATGTGAGCAGGTCAGTCAAGGAAGCCCAGCTTCCAGACAAATAACAACAAGCCCTGATGGTCTTTGCCATTTGGGGTAATCTTTCTTTTGAAATCCTGTGCATGGTGTAAACAGTGGTGAAGCATTTCTAAATTTTTGGCATGATGTGCTTCAATATCAGCTGAGTGCTTTCTGCTGCGGTTCCCCGACAGCCTCAGATGGCATGACTGCTGTGGTCCACTCCACCCTCCTGCTTGGCCCACGTATGCCCAATTTTCTCTTGCAGAGGCTTGTTAGACTCTGCTGAACTGCCTCCATGCACTAACTGAGCAGAAGACTGGCCTTACCAAAGAAAGTAAACAGTTCTTTGCTGGGTCAGTGAGTTGAAGTGGCACTGTGAGCATATCTGGCAAAGGCAGGGAGGAAAGACCTCCTTTTCTTTGTGGTAGCACTGAGCTTTTGGAGCTGCTCATTTTTTGAGTAACCTCACCCTTCTATTTAAAGAGTGATTGAGGGGTTATCAGTCTGTACAAAGGAAAGGGTTTACTTGGTATCCTATTCAAACACTGTGAAACGCATTCACTAGCACTTGGACAAACTTGTCCACCTTAAAAGAACTAGTTGCTACCATTTACTCTTCAAACATTACTTTTGTGTGAAACAGCTTCTGCATCTCCAGGTTGGTTTCCTTGATTCACCTATTTAAGACTGTGCCACACTGAGGTGTCTGAGGTGGTTTTTGTTCACTTCTTGTGTTTTGGCCGTGGGACAGTAGCATTTCTCTCTTTCAGACCTGTTCACATGGTACTCTTTTGAGATAATCCCTACTATCACATCTCTTGGATGCGATTGTCCCTTCCCCAGATGCCCATTGTTCAGAACATGGGCTGACAGACTGCAGCCACAGAAAATGTGTCTTGTCATCAGTTGTGGTGAAATTCATCTCTCTCATATGAGAGATCCTCTTATCCTGACCACTTGAGGTCAGAAGGCGTTTCCAAAAAAAGTTTAGTTTAGCCTGAATGCTGCTGGCTGTGTTGTAGTTTGGATCTCAGTCCTTCCCGCACTTCAAACTCATTTTATTACTCCAGTGGCAGTGCATAATATCACTAATTACAGAGTGGCTGTGATGTCTGTTGTTGAGGTGGCTGCCATGATCCCTCTGCTAGAGGCTCTCAAATAGTGGGACTTTGGGACTGTGCTTGGACAGTAGCGTCACTAAGTAATGCTTGCTTTTATCCTTTCTAGGACCTGCACTTCTGCTGAGACAGGTGACAGCATTGTTACTCGGAAAGCATTTACTCCTCCATGAGGCCAGGGGGGGAAGGTGGGACAGTCATGCAGGGGAGGGAGGTCTGCTTAGCAGCAAGGCAGTGAGAATGGAGGGAGCAGGACAGACGCTGCTGGGATGTGGTTTATGTGGCTGAGGAGCTCAGCGTGCTGCCCCTCGGTGCCTGTCTAAGGGCTGCAGTGTTTGCTGGGGACGGGGCAGGCCAGAGGCAGTTGGCCTTGGAAGAACTGTCGTTTTTTTTTCTCAAGTGTCTGTATAGAGATGAGAAGATCTGGAATGTTGTTTTCGGTTCTCCTTCACACTATGTTGAGGTGTGGCATCTAACACCACTGGAGTTCCTAGCAATCTGAGCACTCAGCATGCCTTAAAATCAGTTTCAAGGTATTCTAAACCAAACACAAAATGTACGCGCCTCTCCAGAAAATCAGACACGCTGGAGCCACGAAGTGACTGTCTCTCTCAGAGTCCCTGTGTCATGAGAACAACCCTGCAACTTCTTTGGATATTTAGGTACTAATGCTTGTGCTCCACAAGGACAGCGGGTGGAAAGGTGGTGACCTAACCACAGTATTGGAATCTGTGTCATGGTACCTAGCAGCACAGCTTTGGTTTTGAACTGTTGTTTGGCTTCTGGGAAGATTACTGACTGCTTTTTTTTTTTTTCTTTCTTTCCTCTGTTTTAGACATTTACAGCATGGTGTAATTCTCACCTCCGCAAAGCTGGGACACAGATTGAGAACATAGAGGAAGATTTCAGGGATGGTCTTAAACTCATGTTACTTCTGGAAGTCATTTCAGGTGAGAGAGGTTCTGTGTGGTGCTCTCAAGTGTCCTGAGCATCTCCGTTCTAAAATCTGTCCTCCCCCTTTCTCGCAGAATAGGGACAGCAAGGGCTGTAATGCTGCAGATTTTGCTGGAATATAAGAACAGCTGCTTTCTGATTCAGAACAAATTTCTCCCTAATGAATATCTCATCTCCAGCAGTGACCATTAATGTGCTTTTGGAATGTATTCCAAGCCTCATGGCCTGTGCAGGCTGCCCGTTGCATTCCCGCTGCACAGCCTCCTGTGAAGGCTCAGGCAGTGGCTCTTACTGCTTGGCAGGGCTGATGAAGCAGCTCTGGGAAGAGTGTGGGAATGCTGCACTGGCAAATCATACCAAAGCCACATGACAGTGGGAATAGGATGGAAGTTATTGGAAGAGAGGATTCAAACCAGTAAATCTTCTCTGTCGTTCAGTTTCAGCTGTGACTGAAGTTTTTCCACTCTAGTTTCAATCTGAGCTCAGTGCTCAAGCCTTCAGGGAAAAAAAAAATCCCAAAGAAAAGCAAAATCACAGAAAACGCAGTCTGAAATAAAAACAGGGGCATGAACAAGTTAGGTCAAATTCGCTTTCACTCGCTATCACAAATGTCCCACTACTTGACAGATATCTCCCAGGGATTATTTCATATAAGCAGTAATCCCTATTGACGTGCTGATGAAATAAATACCTTAGTAAAGTATTGTGGAGGCATCAAGGAGGGATAAGACTGTATATATGAAACTGGGGATAGCTTTTGAGCCAGTAACAGTAACCCAATGTCTTGCACTCTTGACCTTCTTGGTACGTTTTCCAATAAAATTGCTGTCAGTATGTGCATTTTTCAGAATTTATGAATATAGGATAAAACCTCAGGGGTTTTGCCCATGCTGGCAGTTTGGAGGAATCAGAGTTCGAAATATTAGCAGAGCTTCGCAGCACGCGCCTGCTTCTGCAGTGCCTGTAAGAAACAAGGTGGCAGAGTCCTATTGGTTTATTTTTTGCATTTATGTTCCCTTGCAGAGGAGGGGCTGCAGCCTGGAAACTGGGGCAGATGGGCCTTGATGGCTTAGTTTCTAATCGCTGAACTGGAAGATAGGGGAAGCATGAACAGGGGAGGGCAGATGAAGCTTGGTGCTAAAGCAGGGGGTCTCATATCTCACACTGCATAATTTCCTTGCCTCATCTCCCACTCTTCCTCTCCTGTCATCCCTTTGGGAGCCCTCTGGCAGGGCCTGTCTGACCCCCCCCAGTTTGGGGGGGTAACCACTTCCGAGCGCACTGGTGGTGTGGGCATGGCATTTCCCCATCTCCTGCAGAGCGGGCTCTGTGCCCGCAGCCTGCCACTAGATGACCAGCAGGCAAAGGCATGGGGAGCAGCTGTGGGCTGCATCCCACCAGAGGCCACGGTCCTTCACGCACTAAGGACTGAGTATGATTTTCTTAGAGCCAGCAGAAGCTATAAGCACAGTTCTCCTAGGTACAGTGGCAATGTAGGAGAAATTTAGCACTTTTTTTTTTTCCCATTTCATTTCTGTCATTGGTGGCTCCATTTCCAGTTGTGAGCTCCAATGCTCTTACAGAGCCTCCTTTCAGCTGGTAGCCCTGCTAGTAGCCCCTTTGGCCCATATATGGGGAAGCAGCAGCCCAGCCCAGGAGCAGCAGGAGGGAAAGGAGTCTCCTGCTGGTTGGCAAGGGCTTGCCTGTAATGTTTCTGCCATGGTTCCCAGTGATCATCTGCCAAAAGGGTGAGTCTCCGGATGGCTCTTAGCCCTCCAGTTCCAGCTTCTGGCCTTTCCTTTCAGCTCTTGGCTCACTCCACACCTTCCTCTTCCCGTATTTTGGGGGACTGCAGAGCTGCTGACGGGAATTTGGCGTGGGCAGGGTTGCTCTGTGGCAGGCTGATCTTTTCCTCTAATCCAGAGGGTGATGGCCATAAGAGCTTTCAGCCGTGAGAGCGCTGGGCTGGGCTGGCTGAGAGCTGTGCAGAGCTAAGCTGATCCTCCGTCTGGCTGCCCAGCAGGGGTGCATGGGAGCGAGGGAGCCCTATCTCCCTCTGCCCCCGCTGCAGCAGTGGCTGCCATGGGAGGAAGGAAGGGAGGCTGCATCAAGGAAGCTGCTGGAAGACCATGGAGTGGGAGAGGGACTGTGCTGCTGGGGCTGTGGGAGACCTGTTTCGGGGCAGACCCTCCTGTGTGTCCTTGGGGACACGCTGCTGCCAGCCAGGTAGGAGGCAGTTTTCCCATCTGCCGCGACTTCCCAAAGTGTATGGGAAGCAGTGATGTTCTGCAAGAGGAAAGAGCCTGTTTTACTCAGCCTGGTCCCCTTCCAGCCCAGCCAGAGCCCCTCGGTCCCCCAGCCACTGTGCAGTGAGAGAAGCTCCATGGACAGTCCTGGGACTTCTTCATTGCAAGTCCTCTCCCACTGGCCTCTGTGGTGGGAAGTAACAGTTGCCCCCCTAGAAATTGCCCCAAAAAATACACTTTCATTTTTCACCGCATGTGTTTCCTTCCCCTGACAAAGCCATTTTAAAAATAATACTACAGGACTGAAAAAGGCTAAGCTCACGTTTAGTGCTTTTAAAATAAAGTTACAAGGCTTTTTTTTTTTTTCCCCAAACAGAAGGAATGACTAATTGAAATTTTTCATAAACAAATTTGCTGTAAACAACTTCTATGCCAACACTTCCTTGCATTGTTTGGCTTTTAAAGTACAGCCTTGGGCTGGTACTTGAGAATCAGAGAATGGAAGCGAGTAGACCATTTTAATTGTCTCAGCTGGGAGAAATACTGAGAAATAAAGCAATGATGCAAATAGCTGAAAGTAGAACATATTTCTGGCAGGCTTCCCTTTTAACAGTCTACATCATTAATAATGTATAGCATGGAATCAGATGAAGCATTTCTCTGGAAATCTAAATTTGTAATAAAGTCCAAGTCTGAAGGAAATAGCTGTCGGGCTTGGGGACTTTTTGAGTTCAAAAAAAAGCGTTCTAAAACAAATATCCTATTGTGGTATTTGAGAGAGGGAGACTGCAGTTTTGCCATCACCATCAACTGCTTGAGGATCACATTGCTGTCAGAGGCAACAACGCTGCTCACCCCAGCCCCAGGGAGAGCAGTTTAGATGCTCTCCCTTGTGTTGGCAATGCACAACGTGCGGCCACAAGGTGAATTGGATCGGCTTGCTGTTCCAGCTGAAACCTAATCTCTTGTCTTCTTTTTTCTTTTTGCAAGGCTCGTTTACAGTCACATCAGCTGAAGAAAATGGTTATTTTTTAGGTGGCTCAGCCCATTTGTTGATACGTAGCAGCATAAGTCTGCTTGAGTCTATTGTGAAACTACATGTAAAAATGTCACTGTGAAACTGTCACAAAAAATGCTTCCACTTTTGTTTAGAATGACTAGCATTATCCAAATGGGAAAGGAAAACAACATACCGTGATGTGTACTTGAGGGCCCGTTAAAGCAAAAGAGATTTTTTTAATCCTAGGAGGGAGGTAGTACCATAAATACATCTTTTTACTTAAATTGTCAGACATCAGTGTTTCATTTTGAAAGTGAATCCAGTTTTATCCTTAAGCTTGAGAGCTAGTGACACCAGCCTACAGTAATCACTGAAACACTTTTAAAGGATTTTCATTTCCAGGCTTTTTTTTTTTTTTTGTAGGGCATGGCTATGGAGATAATCTATTTTTCTCCCTTTTCACTTTTCCCCACTCCTTTGTTAGGAAACAAGCCATTCAGTTTTCATTTGAAAAAGAGTTCTTTAAAACGTACTTTTCTTTCTCACCCTTAAGCCTCAGATAAAGGTTTTGGGCATTGACTTAAATATTCAGGTTCAAGGTATAGCAGGAGACTTCTGGAACTGAATAGGTCAGGTGAGTAATTACTTGCCTAGACTTGCCCATTTGATCTCTTTTTAATCATCTCATAACTTTTTTTCCGAAGTGCAAAACCTGCTTGTGTTTTGTTTAGATCTTTTTTGTATTCTGGAACTTGTGATCTGAAAGCAGCTGTTCTGCTATTATTTTGGTGTTGTGTGTCATACATAGGTGGTTCCTGACATCCCATCTAATTATATTTCTAGTAGAGGTTCCTTTGAAAAGCCCACTTGTCTGTCCAAGCTTGAATTTGCTTACTCTGCTTGTTGGGTTAGTTTTAGTAAAAGTAAGCTGTGAGCATAGTTACAGGCAGCCTATCAAGAAGGGCATGACTGCACTTAATGCAACTTTTCAAATAAATAAGGTCAAGAAAGTGCTTTTCCAAATCTTGCAGCTTTGTTCCAGTTAGGAGCTGGCGTGTCCCCTAAGACTCATTTCTATCAGAGTTACCTGCTCTTACCTTGGAGCTGGGCTGCTTCCCTCTCTCTGCCTCATTATAAACATTTAAAATGCATACCCCTGTGTAAGAGACCATGGCATAGAGTTAGAAATGTATCAGACATGTAAGGACTGTCATCTCACATCTTTTCCATTACAGTTATAAAGCCACTTGCCAAAGAAGTGATTTTATTTCCTGATACAGGCAGTTGTGGCCATTAAGTGAAGAGATGAGAGAGGTAGGAGGTCTGTATCCTGCCTGGGGAAAAGAAAAGGCAAGATATGATATCACCCTCATATTTGACTGTAGGGAGTTCCAAGAAGGAGAGATTCACTTTGTAAATTGGGCGTTGTAAATGCTGGAGGGGAGCTCCTCACCTCTCTTTTTAGGGGAGGCAAGTTTGTGCCGATGTTATCTGCAGTTAATGGTACAGAGGTTAGTTCCACTGCCTAGCTCAGTGTGGATTTGAAGGACCCTTTTAAACTCTTGATACAAACCTGCTGTGGAAAGGACTCAGTGCTGACAGTTCCTCTGTTAGTAAATTATCTGGGATGCAACAAAAAGATACTTTTCTGTCTGAATCTTTCTGGGGATACTTAACACGGTGAGTGTGGCTGTCCTGCATTTGCTGTTGAGAAAGGATGCAGGGAGGTCTACCCTTGGCCTGGCTGAGCAGCAGGAGCTACCAGCATGGGGAAACACCCCGCAGGGAAGAAAGGGTTCAGAATTGTTTTCTAACACTTTTTTTTTTTTTTCTTTTTAGGTGAACGTTTGGCTAAGCCTGAAAGAGGCAAAATGCGAGTGCACAAAATATCCAACGTAAACAAGGCCTTGGATTTCATTGCCAGCAAAGGAGTCAAACTTGTATCTATTGGAGCAGAAGGTAAAGAAACCAGCTGATCTGTCTGGGCCCAAGCTGTGCTTAGCCGTTGCCTTTCTCTCACGACTGCGTGTCATTTCCCTTTGCGTCTCTCTAGCCCTACCATGTCCTTGTAGAATAAGCCATGGAGGGAAAAGGGGGATATATTAGGCCTTTACTTTAAATCTTAATATTTTAAATCCCTTCTGGATTTAAATCCCACCTTCACACCAAGCTGCCAAACACCAACTTGGGCTTATTGGTCAGGTCCTCCTGCTTGTCTCCTGGTTCTCATGAGTTGAGGAGAACATTGAGCAGTGCCAGAAACAAATTAATTGGGATGTTTCTTTCTCAAATGAAGAAAAGTCTCGACTGAAGCATAGAAGCTGCTTGTATTTAGCTTGTTGCAGAGCAGCTGGGAAAGATCCCCTGTTGCTGTAGGACATCCCATGTATCAAAGCCAAGTGCAGTCTACAGCACAGGCCAAGGACTCCAGAGGCTCCAATTTTCAGGGCTTCCAGGCTTCTTGTTGTGCACCCCAGAAAGCTGGGTGCTCTGACTGGAAGTCTGTATAATCATTGTGTAGAAGCCATTGTGTTCAGCACCAGGGATGCCCTCAAGATGAATTTGTGGATTATGCAGGCAGCGGGGAGTTGTATAGGTTTTTTGTCTGTTCAGCAAAGATGGTGGGTGTTTTGCAGATACGTCACCTGAGACCCATAAGGGCTTGCAGGTTAGTAAGATAGTTTGCTTTTTTATAAACCTTAATGACTGGTCATCTTATGCAGATTGAGTTTTCATGACATTTGTTTTCCTCTGCTCTGGAACTGTGTGTGAGTCCTGCCATCCTGCCTAGACTCGTGCTGTCATTGTTGCTGTGGAGACTCTGCTTCTGTGGTATTTCTAGGTTTGTCTTTACAGTGACCATGGAAAATGAGGGAAGTTTGTTATCTCCATCTTACAGATGGAAATATATGGTTTCTCTAGGGAAACTCATGACAGAGCTGGGAAATGAGCCTGTGATACAGTTCTGGATGAGTGCTCCTCCTCCGGGAGAGCTGTGAGGCTGCAGGGCTGAACCTTGCCTGTTCTTAGCCCAAGAGGTCAGAGCAGTGTCAGCATGCTGTCCCCAATTTTGGCCTTTCAGGCATGCTATTGGGAATGTCTCTAAGACATGTGCCCATCCTATGGTCTGCGTATTCTGCGTCAGATCAGGCAGAATACCTCAGCCGCTGCAGGTGCTTATGTTTGCCTTACTCGAGACCTTTACCTCAACATACTGCTTTAACTTTATGGAGACTTTGGAACAATTTGAAACTAGTGTGCAGGGACATTGCAGACCATTCTTTAGTGTGTTTGGTATTTAAGAGCAAAGCATAAGAGGTGAATGGTTCAATGATATTTATATTTTACATGCAAAACTTTTCTTTGATTTTCTCAGCTTTTCTCACAGGAGCAACGTGAGGGTGTTGCTGGCCCTGAGTACTGTTGATGTAGCACAAATGCATATCTAAGGGTCAACTTGTGCCCTTGCAAAAAAGACTGATGCATCCAGTGTCTGATACAGTAGTCCATATCTATATGAGACCCTTTTCAAACTGGAAATTTGACCTGGACCCAGAGGTCTTCTGCCTTAAGACAGTTCCTGTGGTCATTTGGATCTCAGACACATATTTGGATCCTTCTGGGGGTCTAGAGCATGCGTAAAACTGCTCTGTTCCCTTTTTCTGGTTCTGTTCTCCCTGCCACTAGTTTACCTTTTCTTCTCCTTCCACTGGATTTTTCTTTTTGATCTCTGGTCCTGAATCAGCTGTGACTGTACCCTCACAGCACTTAGGAATCATTTGCAAGTAAAATGGTCTGTGGCCAAACATCTCCAGGACCCAGTTATTCAGTATGGATCCATAGCAGTTACCCTGCTCAGAAATAGGCTGTGAGGTGCCGTTTTGTGACAGAAGCCATGATTTATATCAGTCTGAACAGTGATCCTGACCTACCTTGCCAAATGTTGCCGGCTCTCCTTTGTCCCGGTGTGCATGCAGCCACATGGTAAACCTATATGGGTTTCTTCATACTACTAAAGGTAGCACGGCACTGAAGTTTAGACCAAGGTTAGCTTTGATTTTTATACAGAGCGCTAAGGCCCATGCTGTGATGCCAGCTCAGGCCGTGTTAGTGTGATCACAACGTGGGCTTCCCTACCCCAGAACCTGCCCATGCACCCAGACTGAGCCCAGGCCACTCTCACCACCAGGATACAGAACCTGCTAGAGGGGCTTCTGCCCAATCCAGCCAGGTGCTTGGTGTACAGTGAATTACACATCACCTATAAAACCAGACTTTTACTTTGAACAGCACAGCAGTAACTCTGTCCATGGAAGGAATTATAAACCTTCCTGGATCATGAATTTTAAGGGCTTACTTTCAGACTTTAAGAAGACATCATGTAGCAGCAAAGTAGAAGATAAAAGCCAATGAGGCAGTCATCACATTGCACCAAGAAAATGAGCTGTAAATGCCCCAGTCAGGTTGGACTAGGAAGTTTTCCATGTGGCTTTTCTCCCAGGGGAGGAAGCCACCATCCAGCAGCAGTGTGGTGATACTGGCTAGGGCAGCACACACCTCACCTCAAGGTGGCTTGCTCCATCTCTGGGTATCTGGGTATCTGTGTAAAGGGTCTGCAGCCCAGTTGTAGTTCTCTGTATACGTTAGACAAATGGCATTGGCCATCAGTGTCCTGGCTTTTTTTTTTTTTTTTTTTTTTTTTTTTTTGGTGGTTAAAAAATAAGCTCCAGAAAGAATCCCAAGGAGACTCTCAGGTCGGCTTCAGCCTTGTGAAACCTTGTGTTTAATCAGAGTTAAAGCCAGCAATAGTGTTTTCATGGCATTTATCTCGCATCTCATCAAATAAAGATACCTCTCTGCTGTTTACAAGCCATGTCCCAGTGAACGAGAACCAGTGGAAGAGGACATCCTACACACAGCATGAGTGCAGGACATATTCTGTGTCCATGTTAAATGGAAGGTGAACTAAGCAAGCAAAATAAGCAATAAGGGTTAAGAGCTGCTTCTGACAACCTTCTTTGACTGTTAACAATTCAAGGTTATTCTAAACATCTTTGTTTAGCCAGAGTCCATAGGATCAAAGCAGTTGTGGCATGCAGGAGATCTGTGTAAACCTGGATCAAGGGAGAGTCTAGCCTGGTGCAGCTTCCAAATGGTTTTGCATCTGCTTTTAAATCTCACTGTCATCTGACACCTCAGAAGCCTTCTTTTGCTGTAATAGATTCCATACTGGTGTCAAATGCTCCTGGGATTTAATAGATTGAATAGGTCAAGTATGTGACCCTAAGAATGTTTTATTTGCACCTCTAATCTGCATAGAAAGTTGCTGCTTGCTTAGACAGATGTGGCTCGGTTCAGTGTAAAGATACCTTTGGGTGAACTGATCCGTAGTCTCACCTGCACAAGTGAAAGGAGAAATAAAGCTTGGGGGTTTCAACAGTTGCAGAAGTCCCATCTGAGCAAAACATCTCCTGAAGTACTGGGCAGAGCAAGCATACATTCGACAGTGGAAAGGCGGTGGGGGGGGAAATAGGGTCTCTCCATGTCAGTGAGTGAAGCATAGCATTGTATTTGTCCCTATCTCGTGCCCACTCACGATTAGGGAGCTGAGATGTACACCCCCATCATCAATGCCAGCCACCTGTCCTAAATCTGGCTCAACCATCATTAGCAACATGCTTTCTGAAGACAGGGGCATGGATGCTTGTCCTGTTTTATTTGGCTTTTGTTAGGATAAACAAAATGCAGAACAGCCTTTATTTTATGTCACCATTGTGTCTCTGATTCCCAGATCATAACACTATCCTGCCAGTTGTTCGTCCCATGCAACTCCCACTCTCCATGGGGTAACCAGAGGCTGTGCTCCCATGGGCAACTCAGAGTTGTAGCTAGGGGGGATAACAGTTTCTGTAGCATTGATTCTGCTTCTAACTACCCAGGCCAGGGTAGAAAAGTAAGCTTAATCATTTTTGCATTTTTCAAAATGAGTTCATGCATTTAAAAAAGGTGGTGGCATTTTAAAAGCCACATCTGTGTAGCCAGACAGTCTTGCTCCTAAGGACTGAATATTTGTCAGGCCCTTAATTGGCTGTCAAACAAATGGATGAGAGTACTGTAGGTTTTGCATATTTTGTTCGTGGTATTTGGTACAATAATGGGAGCTGGGTGGAAGTGTATTCACCGGTGCAAAAAATTTCCTTCCAGTGGATGCAGATGCCTCATCAGCCTTAGCCAGCAACTGATCCACCCCCAAGTTGAATGTAAATCACATTAATAACATGTACTTGTTTCTGCTGTTCAGAAAACAGCTGCTGGTGGTGGAGGAAGTGCAGACGACGCTTGCAGAGGTCCTGCCTAGAAAGAACACTTGGAAAACACAGTCAGGCAGAAGATACTGTCCGATTATCAGCCTTTTAATATGTGAACTGCTCTCACATTACCGAGCCTTACTTATATCAGCGGGGAGCACACACCGTATCTTTAATTAAGCATTAGATTATTCTAGCTTTATAGTATTACATTCAACTTTTTAACAATTCCTGTGGAGTTTCTTTCTCTTCATCACCAGGAAGCAGAAGGCTTCATGCAAACCTGTTTTGCAGCCATGTTTTTCACTTATTTCTTGGCCATATTCTGCTATGTTAGAAAGAGACTGGCAGCAGCTGAAGGGTGCTGAAGGGATCCTAAAGGAAGAGGAGGTTGGCATTGAGGAATGCGGGGATGGAAAACCGAGTGAGTGAGGGCCAAAGAGTACATGGCCTTTCTGATCAGGCTGGCTGACTTTGTATCCAGGTTGCCAGGCAAAGTTTTTTAGCTCTGGAAATGAAGAATGTGTGCCTGCTTCTAATAAATAATAACAGTTTTATCAACTCTATTTAAAAGAAAAAAAAAAAAAGAAGAAAAGGACAGGAGATGGTGTAGTTGGTTAAATCTGCATGTCAGGATGGATCATTCACTAATCTCACATCAGTATCTGCTTGGTAGGTGGTGGGTTTTCTCTGTGTCAAGAAAAGGTTAAAATGATGTGAAGAGGTGAAGTGGTGGAAATATTCTGGGCTTCTTCCAGAACAGATTTGCTTTGGTGCACTGCTAAGGAAGAATCAGGCATGGGAGCAGGGAGCACATATCTTCCTTTTTAAATGAGTAATGCAATGAAGAGGGCTGGGGGAGAAGAGATGCTTTCCACCTTAACTCCACCAGCTAACTTCATAAAACTGGAATTTGAGAACGTGACCAGAGCATAGTCCTGAGTTCTAATGCCACATTAGCAACTTAACGCCATCTGGTTTTATGTAAGTATCTTGACCTTTATTTCCAATTAAAATCCATGGAACAGTAATATTAATTACCTGTTTCAGCTCACTGATTGATTTATTAGTGTTCATAAAGCATTTCAACATTAAAGTACTGCCATCAGATTTTAATCTAGTCCATTAAAATAAAGAGCTCAATTTAGTTTCAGATCTTAAATATACCCTAGGGTCCTCTTGCCAACTGCTGTGGTTTTTACCAGCATTGGGGTTTTTTGCTTTTTGAAAATCCCCACAAATACCTATCACATGAACAAAACCATTTTATATTTTAGCTGTAGATCTCAGGTATTTGTACCAATAGTAAGGATTTTCCTCTAACTTGATTGCAGTGCTTTGTTGGAGGGGTTGAGAGTGCAAAAAGTGCAAAACTGAATATACTTGCCATCACGTGACATTTCCTTACACCAGCCTAGCAGGCAACCCCCTCACCCCAAAATACCTGTAAAAAAATTAATTTGTGAGAAGTCTGTCAAAAGGCAAACATAGTTTGTTTTCATGCCAGCAACAATAACTGTAGTTCTTTTGTACTGTAATGAAAAGGTATTTAATTCTGGGGAAACTGGTGCCCCACCAAGATATCTGTGTGTACTCTTAAATGCAGAAAGGAGTGGACACAGGGGTTTGCTGCAAGTAGAGCAAGGTGGTGTGTCTTGTTTTCTATCTTATAAATCTGTAAATCCCTAATGCAGATGTATGTCACAGCACAGCAGAGATTATCCTTCTAATTTACACTGGAAGTTGCACCACATGTAGCACTAAATCACAAGCTTTCAGGAATTTAGACAAGGTGGACACAGTTTCTAAAACAGTGTGTTTGGGGTGCGTGCTCCTTGTCTGTTGGTTTTGAATATACTGAGGTTCACATTTTGAAAATGTTTCGTAAGAGGAAAAACTTTTTTTAAAGGCTTAAAAGGAAAATTTAAAATATCGTTACTTTTGTGACAGGATCCAGACAAGTGGCAGTTGCTTATACTGCAAATTTCTACTTGCCCCAGAGCATGATGTGTTCCTGCTGGGCAGCTTTATGGAAGCAGTGACACAGAGGTGTCTACAGTAGTACAAAACCTGACAGAGAATGAGTAGGAGAAGGCAGCTCTGCTAGTTTCACTATCCAAAAAAAAGTGAAGGCTGTAAATTTCATAATGTGTATATATAGTCTGCGTGGAATTTTTGTAGATGCTGAGGATTGGCACTTGAGACCCAGCTGCTCACTGGACTGTTTGGTGCTAATCTGTACATGGTGGAAGCCCTTTTCTGGGCCAGCATCCACCCAGGGCCTCCCCCCAGAACCTTGATTCCCCTGTCCTAAACAGTTCATACCTCACACGTGCAAGCAGTTGCTTTCTAAAACCTCCGAGTTGTTGACCCTTGCTGATTTATATTATGGAGTCCAATGAGCAATAAAGCACAATCTGCTTAACATCTTAGTTTATGTTATGGTCTGCTCAGGCTGGTCAGCGCGAGTCTTTGCTTCCTCTTCAAGCAGGATGCATGTAACTTTGACGAATGCTCTGTGGTGTCTTTTGGCAATTATATGACTGAAAAAAGTCCTATACAGGCTGTCTGGCATATTTAGGCTTGTTTGAAATGAAAATGCTGACATTTCTTGTTTTTCTTTGTGGTATCTTGTTCACATGACAAAACCAGCTGTGAGAGCTCATCTGTGCTGAGACGTCTCACTGGTTCTTCTGGTATAACTATGCTGGGGTGGTTATGTAGGTGACTTGGAGTAGACATATCAGAGAAAGGCTTTTCTTTTTCCCAGTTTGGCTTATATGGCTTCTGAGTGGTTGGAATTAAATCTGAACAAGGTTGGTTTAGGCCCCGTGGGGAACTACTCTGTTCTAAATTGGTCCCTGTTCTTGGTCTTTTGGATCATTGATGTCTGTTTTACGCTCAGTATTATACTGCAAGAGAACCAGTCTGATTACTGGGTACTACTGGGCAAGACTGTGCTGTACCAGCAGAGCATCTGGGGAGGTGGGGAAGAATAGTTTTCAGCTGGAATTCCAGTTCTCCCATCTGCAAAAGGGAATGTTCCCCAATGCTCCTGTTTTACTAGGATTTGCCCTTGCAACTTGATGCCTTCAATTTCTTCCCTTTTCTTTTTCCCCATAGAAATTGTGGATGGCAATGTTAAAATGACTCTTGGAATGATCTGGACCATCATCCTTCGTTTTGCCATTCAGGATATCTCAGTTGAAGGTAAATCTTAGCTCTTTCCAGACACTGTCCAACAATGAACAACTGGGGTAACTAAATGACTTTGCCACTTAAAAGCCCCAGAATGTGCTCTTAGGTGAGTCACTGGAAGATCCTACGGAGGTACTCTTCCCAAGCTGCCCTGTCATCTCACTGACATTTCTGGCCAGGTTCAGGTATACTGAGAAGAGTTTTTCACATCCTCCTCTTGTAAGAGTTTTTAAGAGCAGCTGGAAAGGATGGCTAAGCCTGAAAGCCAACTTTGATGTTGAAATCTATTGCATTTTGCAGGCTGATTCAGGGACTAGCACTGAAAATGGACCTATCTCTTACAAGTGCTACAAAACTCTCTAATCCCCAAAAGCTATCTGCTTATTATAGAACATCATTAAGAAAATAATAGTAATGAAACTATCCCAGTAGACTCTTCCAAACAAGGGATTTTCTGACAAGTAAAATTAAATAAAGCACAATTCAGTGTAGTCTCCACAGAAGAGGACTTGGTCATGTTTTTCTAGCATATGCTCCAGAGACTCCTGCTTTCTAAGAAAACTAGTTAATTGATGTGCTTTCTGTTTTTTTCTCTAGAGACATCTGCTAAAGAAGGACTTTTGTTATGGTGTCAGAGGAAGACAGCCCCCTACAAAAATGTAAACATCCAAAACTTCCATATCAGGTGAGTTACAGGCAAGAACTTAGCTTTACAATCTGTGTTAGTTTCATATGTCTCTTGGTATATTCAATAATGTTCCTGACGGACCTCCCAAGGCAATGCAGATGCACTTTACACAGTAACAATGTAGTCCAGAGACACACCTAGGAAATTAAAGGCAGAGATTATAAGAGGATCCAAGTATCTACATCCCAATTCCTCATTCTGGTTACAATTGCTGCTTTTGTAAAGTTCTTCAGAGCATTAAGTTCTCTGAGAGCAGCATATGTGCCACGGGCTGAGAAAGACAGTTTTTGCTCTGTGAAAACTCAGAATGCTTTAGGAGCCATGAAGTAAAGGCTGCACCAGAAACTTGGTAGTGTGGCAGAGTGGGAAGGGATGAGAGGTTATCTTGCTCTGCTCTTAGTACTTCCAAACTGGCAGATGTTCCAGTGAAGATTCTGCATAATAGTGTTTTTTCCAGCATGTCTTGGTGAGCTGTATGAACCATATAATGTAAAGCACTTTTTTGGGAGCGTAAGTGCCATCCCCACTAGCTGGTACTATAGTGGAGCTAGCTATGGACATCTACCTTTTTCCCTAAGGCATGCACTTGTTCCTCCTTTAGGGCCTGTATCTAAACTTTTTTTCAACCTTGAGCTCTACACCTGTCCTTGTGTGCTCCACAGGACGTGCAGAGAGTTCATCAGAAAGGAGGTGTCAGTGCAAAGGGCAAGTCCTAATCACAGTGGATTTTTGTAGGGATTAAAATGAATCTTTATTGCAGTCTTATGCAGGTACAAGACGTGCCTCCTTCCCAGCACCCACAGAAGCGCTGTTAGCTAGAAACTAAACGAGAATTAGTCATCCTACTGTCTTGGTGCCTTCCCTCCAGGCTTGTGCCTGTCACTGTGTCTGGCTGAACACTGTTCATTGTGCTCTCTTCTGTCTCTCTTGCAGTTGGAAGGATGGCCTTGGTTTCTGCGCTTTAATTCATAGACACCGTCCAGAGCTCATCGACTATGGGAAGCTACGAAAGGTACAACTCAATTCATTTGTCAGACCAGATATTGGCTCTTTGGAAGTAAAGAGGGAGAAGAATTAGCTTGATAAACATAATTGGAGAACTTCAGCACAATCTGGCAGTTGCAGGATTGGGGGGAAGGAAGGAGGGATGAATCAGTACATTCAGGCTTGTTAGTGAAGCGTGAACTTAATGAGCTTCCTGCTTGACTTTCCCTGCTTTCAGACTGCCTTATATGAGACACATGTGCCCTAATCCCAGCTGATGAGCAAAAGCTGGCAAATTCATTAACATCAAATGTGAGACTGGTTCTGTGCTAATGTCACAGATGAGTGAGTCAAATCAGACTTACCATTTCTGTGGAGAGTTGGATAGAAACCAGTTACCTGGTGTTCAAGTGCAAAAGCTCACTGAGGGGTCCATGTGCCCTCACTGGACACTTGTCACATGCTTCTAGCTTAGCACTGAGCCATCTGCAGCACTGGGCTTCTCCTAGCATGTAGGTATCAGGTGCCAGAAAAGCATTTGCCATAACACTCAATTTTACTTTAAAAATTGCTGCTGGAAGCTGCTCCAGAGTTTGCTTCCTGTGTGTCTTGGAGACAAGATTGCTAAGTGGATGGCGAGAATAAACGTTCAGTGGTTTGTGCTGCCAGAAGTGTCTTGACTCAGCAGGGCGATGGAAGACCAAACAGGGCACTCATCCTACTGGCATTGCTGCGGTCTGCTGAGATTCCAGTTTCACTGTATCTGTGCACATGTGGAGTGAAATGTCACCAAGAGCATCATTCATGTGTTGTTACTGGGGCTAATACACAAAAAGTTTGACCATTTGATCTCACAGGCCGGGTGTTATAAAGTGCACATGTGCTCAATGTTAGCTAGGGAAATAAATATAGAAGCCCATCACTAATAGACATGGGCTGTTGTGCAGATAGACAATATGTAAATGAGTTAATCAGATTAGCTGCATCCTTGAGGTAATGAATTATACAATGCCTGATCTGCTTTTCAGTAACCTTTTAGAACTTTACTGTCTTGCAGAGCAGTCAATTATATTATCTGTTCAAGTTTAGTATCAGAAGACAGCACATAATGAATAAACAGTGGGAAGAGACTGTACCTGTTTACATAAACAGCAGCAATAAAAAAAGGAATTATTAGAGCTACAATTTCAGTGCCTGATCTTGGGAAAATAAAAGCAGCTAAGCAATATGTGTGTGACAAACCCAGCTGGGTAGATGCTACAGTGCTCTCTGTTATCAACAAAGCCCTGAGCCAAACCCAAGCAAAACGAGAGTGAGGGAAAGTAAGTTATTTGCTCATATTGCCTGCAGGCTTTTTTTAGGTGAAAGAGGAGGGTGATTGTCCTAGCCAAAATCAGTGTAGATGGGAAAGGATTTGTCCTTCTTGGAGTAAGGTTAAAGGGAACCAGCATCTTCTGTTCTCCACTTGCCTTTGATCCCATCCTTCATCAGGTTCCCTGATGGAAGGATGGAATCCTTCTGCAGTCTTCTGACTCTCTCTGGATCATTTTTATTGTTGTTCTGGCTCGATTACTCTAAAGGTATATGCCTAAATGCATGTTTGAGAACTCTACCCCAGCTGAAATCTTGAGCAAATAGCTGGGAAGAACTTAGCTCAGAGCCTAGCCTTTAGCTCTGGCAGTTGATATGTGCTGAGGGGAAGAAGTTGCCTTTTTATGCTAGATCTTGAAACCCATTTGTAGAATGTATAAACCTGGCACCTTACTAAACACAGTATTTGCTTGGACTATTTCTGTCACTTGTTTCCTCCTTTATAGCTTCTTTCTCCTCCCTCAATTCAACTGATTCTTGCCCTTCTCCTTGGAGCCTACTTCCCTTCTTCCCCTTTCCTCAAAAACAAGCAAACAAACCAACCAGCCAACCCCAACATTTTGAATCATCCCTGGCTCTGCAGAGGACTTTCTCTTGCAGAGAAAGACATGAGAAAGGCTGCTGAGGAGCAGCCGTTACAGTGGATAGTAGATTAGAGGTCCGCCACCAGGTCTCTTCCAACTCCAGGGAGTGATTAATGGCATCTCAGTTGTGCGTGCCTTTGGCGATGTTGTGTGTGTTTCTGTGTACACACACATGTATAAGACAGAGGGGTGAACATCAGTCCAAGCTGCCCAGAGGTCGGTCTGCATTGTACGTCCTGTTTGGGCAGCATTCTTGCGCAGTTTTAGTGTTTTCTGCTCCTTCACACAGGCTGTGTCTGTGCTACAGGCCCTGTATTGGAGGTGAAAGCTAGCAAAAGGTAGCTGCATCTCTTCTTCTCAAAAGTTAGCAACTTCTTTTGTCAGCACAGTTTTGTACTGAGTTTATGTTCCTAGCTATTTTTCCTAGTCTAGCTATATTAGTGGAGCAAGCACAGTGCTTTTCTGCCTACATGCACTGCCTAGCTGAAGTTGCTTGTATAGCTCAAGCTCTCAGAATAAAAGGTGGAAGTCCACCCAGCTTGGTGTCAGTGACTCCCTGATACCACAGCTACTTATTTGGTTAGATGGTTTCTATTCAGGGCAGGTCTGTCTGCTACTGTTCAGCTCACTGTAGATAAGATCTCGAGAAACAGCTCATGGTCTGCATGTGAGGGATATGCAGAAGATGGGATTTCCCTTCCTCCTTTTACCCCCAACTGTAGTTCAACTGCTAAGAGCCACAGCTAAGATCTTTTTGTCAAGTACAATGGTTGACTGATGGCTCAGACACCCCCTCATATATCACAATCCATATAGAAACAATACTGCTGTGTTGGACGCATTTATTACAGATATTCCTGAAAACATGAGTTGTACCAATTGGATTTCTTTCCTAGTGTCTTCAACTTCGGCAGATACAGTAAGTGCTTGCTCTATCTCTTGATTTTCCTCCCTCTCCATCTCCTTTCCTGATTGCTAGTTAATAGAATATTTTTTTTAATGTCACACTGCAATAATTGCCATGGCAACCTTGTGTGCTGCAAGGACTTGGAAATAGCTGGAGGAGGAGAGAAGACTCCCCATGAGTTAGGGTTGTGGTGAAAGAGGAGGAGCCGCGGTAGTCTTTAGTCAGCAAAAGCAGAGAACATGCCAGGTGGGCATCTGTTTAGGGCAGGTTTGCTGTCTACCACTGTTAGTGCAATGCCTCCATGGTAAAACTATAGCCGTCCTCACAGCTGGCCCAGCTAGAGCCTGCCAAGTTACTGCTCCTCTTGGTGTCTCTGCTATTTCTATGTTCACATAAGCAGAGTGGGAACTGAGGCATCTCTGCAGAACATCATCTGGGTCAGTGCTCTTCTGGGGCACATGTTTCAGCTGTGGAAGGAATCAGGGGACAGGTGACTTGGCTTTTCTTTGCTCTGCTGCCTTTGGGTCCCTAAAAGCATGCCTGCAGCTGTGGTGCTGCAGTTCTGCACTGTGAGGCTTGGAGCTGCCAGGCCAGGTTTACTGCTTTATCGCTTTTCATGGGAGTCAACTGAAACAGGTGATTTGAAATAATGATTAGCTGGTGTACGATGGGATGGAATTGAAAGCGGTGGAGTGATGTTTCTGTGATTCCATATGAAGTAGAAGTCTGATAGCTTCACCTAGGTGAGTCTCCAGTTCCCTGAAAGTTAAGACTTCCAGCCCTTCCTTTGGGAGTGCCCAAGCCCAGCACGTTTTCCCATCAGGAAACCTCTCCCAACTTCCAGCGTAAAATTTCTTTTTAACCTTTGGCAACGTTGCTCCTGGTGTTACTTGCAAACTGATAGGAAAGCTGTCTGCAGTGAGTTTGCCTCCTCCCTTTCCTCCAGGAGGGGCTGGCAGATCTTCCAGCAGGTCATTCAGATGGGTCTGTGCTAAGGAAGGGTCTGTGTTAATACTAAACACACTGTCAGGGCATTAGTAATGCTGTGGTGGTCATGGTCAGCATAGATTGAAATCTGGTATACAGTGGTGACATTTCTACACAAGTAGAAAATGGCACATGCGCTAGGGGAAAACTGGCGAGGGAGCTGCCACTTGGCATTTCTGGATGCTCCTACACTTGAATAAAAGGCTGTTACTTTTCTTTCCCAAACGGAGCTAAGGCCCTGTCTACACATAGCAAACAAGGTACGTTATATACCAGCTAGTCTTACCTCCTCAGATAAGGCTTTTGGTTACACTTTGGGTTCATAGAGGTTTCTCCACAGCAGGCACAGGAGACAAGCTGAAGTTCAAATGGTACCAGCCTCTAATTCCACGGCATAGGGTGGTTTCTTGTGGCTGGAGGATAGTAAAAAAACCCCTGCCCGCACCGCTGCTAAACTCTGAAGAGGTGGATATAGATATATCTGATGCAGTCACCATTGAAAGTGTATTATATAGGGATAAAGTCCTATTTGACACTGAGATGGGGGCCTGTTTCCGTGTGTGACAGCTGCTGGTTTCATCACAGCATGCCCATGCAACATTTCCCCACTTCATATTGGCTTGTCCCAGTGGACTAAAAATGGATCACTGGTCATGTCTGTTTTGATGGCCTCTGTGTGATTTTCTTTAGTAGGTGAAACATTGCTGCCTATGGGAGACATTCGCCCAAAGGAATATGATGCTGATATGGGATGGCAACTTAATTCATGCATTAATTCCTAGGGAAATGCTGCAGGAAACCGCTTTTCAGAATCGCTCAGTTTCCTAGTTTCAAGAAGGCTGTAATCCGAGGGCTACATAATGACCAGTGCCATAAAGGAACTTTTCTACATACCAATACCCTGTCTGCCCAAGCCTGCCTAGCTTCATCTCTGATGCTGTGTGGGTTCAAAGGAAACTGCCTGTTGATTAGAGTTCAGGCACAGCTTAATCTTCCAAGTCAATGCAATAAGCAAAGGCACGTGATCTCAAATAGAAAAGAAACAGAACATGGATGCCACTCTAGAAAGAAGGTGAAATAAGTATACTCCTTATTTCCTGGTTTTTAAGGTGGGTGTCGGTGTGAGTGGCACAAATGACAGTATGGAGAGTACCACCCCATCCTTCCTCTCTCCTGAAAGACGCTTAGCAAACATGGTGACTAAACACTGGCAGTTTACGCACAACCCTTCCTCCAGCAGAAGCCACTTGTCTCAACAGTGGAAACTGATAGCATAAATGTCATTTGTCATCCATGGAGTGGATTGATCCTTCAAAATAACTAAGTATCACGGATACACAGGAATATAGGAATCAGGCTTATATGAAGGTCTCATACAGGTTGGTAGGTGTCTTGTTGCTGATCACTATGTTTGAATGCTGGAAACAATTTGCAGAGGTCTTTCATTTCCAGTGACATCTGCGTTTCATATTCTCTCATGTGGCTCTTTAAATCTAGTTACCTTTGTCATATGACTCATGATGTGATAAGCCACATTTAACTTTGTTTAGGATTTGATTACTGTGTATTGATGTCTCTATCTGAAGTGCATCCTGCCACAGCAGAAGGTTTATATATAGAGGAATAGAAATGTACTAAGGAAATGACAAGTCCTGTGCAGTGCCTAGGAGGAAAAGCAATACTTGGACAAAATGGGTACTTTTATATATATTTATTTTGTAGAGATTTGTTAAAACATTTCTCTTCCTCCCACTCAACTGGTGTTTAACAAACTGTACATTAGCTAAGGACAGCACCCGTTGCAGATGTTGTTACTATTTTAGTATTGCTTAGATGTTCTAACAGATACACTGCTCTGCAGTTCTTTAAAATGGAAGTTGCAAACCTAATATGAATGTGAGATGTAAATGTGAGATACGACCATTTACTATCAGTACTATGTGAAGTTAATTTTACTTTCAAATAAGTTCAAGACAAAATGTATTATTCCTTCTTGTTGCAAGTGCATAGATTATATATTAATTATCATATCATGAGTCTCCAGGCTCTGCTTTCAAAAGGAAGCTAATTATTGCATCCTGCCACAGGAGGATTGACACATAATTTTGGCTGGACAGCACAGTTACGTGAACCAAACCAAGCACAATAGCTCTGTTTTGAGAGAAATGCTGTGTACATTGTTGCAAGTCGATGCTGATGCTCTGGCTCTGTTTCTTTCCCAGGATGATCCCCTCACTAATCTAAACACAGCTTTTGATGTGGCTGAGAAATACCTGGATATTCCCAAGATGCTGGATGCAGAAGGTAAAGTAGAACCCAGTGGCTTTTAACTTGCTTTTTCTCAAGAAATTTCCCACTTCTTCTAGGTGGATTTGTATTGTACAAGAATTCAGTAACCTCTGAATGCTCCCTCCATCACCACATAACTAAATATATAGGGAAAAAGTTACAACGGAATAATGAATTACATGTTCTGCTTCCCTCTTCCTTCTGTGCCCCTTGGTCTTCTGAGTCTGGTGTGAAGATCTTAACCTGGGATTGACACATCAGGCAGAGATGAGTAACACCTGGCTACATCCACTGATGACTGAAGTGTTCCCTTTCAAGAATTGGGCTTAATACTGAGTTAATGGATGATGTGGGACTACATTCCTTTTGCTCCAGAATTTTTTTTTTCTGGGCTCTTTCTTACATTGCTGGTGATCTTCCTTTTGGGGGCATGATTTAGTATTATAAACTGCTGCTTCTTGACTACTCAGAAGTGTTGGGCATGAAGATCCCTCACTGACTGGGTCTGGAGACCAAGGCAGAGATCCGTGTTGTTCAGAGGTTGTTTTGCTACTGACTGTGACTGCTTTCCTGAGGCCACTGGGACTGCAAGGATTACTTTTCAGAGCCTTGTCGGGACCAGCTTGGCAATAGACTTTGAAGACTGTAACTAAAGTACAAACAACAGCCTGAAATAGTTCACTGGTTGTTGGCTGTTTGCCTGAAGCCAGCTGGTTTCAATGGTAGAAGCTGTATTTCAGGCTTGGTTTGGACAGGAGAAGCAGTTAAAGGCTTTTGTTAAATAAGGGAGTGAGAGGAACAAGGGGGAAAGGTGGGGATAGGACAGCTGAACCCAGTGAACCTGTATTTGGGTAACTAGGATGTTCATTCTCTTAGGTAGTATTTCCCATCCCCAGGGAAGAGTCTTTCTTTCCCTGCATTCATCATGCTGAGTTTACAAAAAAATCATGAGGTTTCTGGAGTAGATTCAAGTGCTTCCTGACGTTCTGTAGGAAATAAAGCCGCCTCCAAAATAAGTGGATCTAGCTTCAGATCTCAGCAAAGCTAGCAGTGATGAAGAGGGCCCCTTGCAGGAGCTCTCATTGCTCTTTCATGATCACTCTCCTCCCTCATGGAGTGGAGCTAATGTGCATTCCTCCACACCATTAATTCTGATCTCTGGAGGTGTTGAGTTTCCCCTGAAACTAATGAAAGGGCCTTTTGAAATTCAAGCCATCGTTGTGTTGAAATGGAGGACGGGGGCATGGAAAGGAAGGGAGAAAGGATCTTTCCTGAAGAATTGCATGGAGGAATTGCAGAACAATACATCTATAAAAGCCATGTCAACCTGCTGCCAGTTTGGATTGATTCAACCTACCATTCGCAGTAATGTTCTCAGGACGGGGAAGTGTTGTGACGTGAGACATGCTAACATATGGCTGCATTAGCCTGGCCAGACCCTGGAAGCAATTTTTTCATGAGGGAGGGGAACCAGAAGGGTGATCCTGGCTTCTGAGAGACACGCATCTTCTGGGGAATGCTGGGAAGCCCTATGGAGTTGCTATGACAAGCATATACCCCAGCAGGCCTCCTTGGACAGTTGTGGTTCTCCCTCTCCTTTGCATTCCTCCCATCAGTTGATTATGCTCTTAACGTGAGGTTTTTTTTGACAGACATTGTTGGAACTGCCCGTCCTGACGAGAAAGCCATCATGACCTATGTTTCTAGCTTCTACCACGCCTTCTCAGGAGCCCAGAAGGTATCGCAGGATCCCAAGCTCCCTCCACAGAGCACACCTGGTGCCGTTGCTAATGTCCAAACCTTTTTTTCTTTCTCTCTCTCCTCTCTAGCTACGGGCATCTTTATTATTATGTTCTTGGTAGAGTTGGCTGTTGGTTCAAAGTGGTGCCCCAGACATAATACATGGGGGAAGGGAGCCAGGAGTCCTGTTTTCCTATGGTAGTGGTACTTTCAGTGGCACTTACATATGCCAGCACCTTGGCACGCACACAAATCTGAGGGAGTGGGGAGCTCTGCCTTCTCCGTTTGCCTTCTGAACTGCTGCCCTGATGGCCAAGGACCTGCACCCCCTCTTCCTGGGAAATCTGAGCTAGGATGCTCGGTCTCACAAAGGCAGAGACTACCACGTAGATGCTCTGCTCAGCAGGACACTGCAGCCTGCCTCCACTGGAAATAATGCTGATACCTATTCACTTTTTTCTTTCTTTTTCAAAGATGGAGGAACAGAGCTGACTTAGTGGTTTTATGAAGGGTTCAATGAATACCCAAAGCTTTATCTTAGGTATGCTGCGGGTTTTCACGCCCTTGCTTCCAAGGTCTGAAGCTGCTGCTTTCTCAAGTTGTGCCACAAATCCAGTCCCAGTTCACCTGGGTATTACAAAGCATGTCTAACGAGTACATCCATCATGATTTTACAGAGTATTGCTTTTTACGACTGAGATGCCTGGTTTTGTTCGTTTGTTTCTTTTTTCCCCTCTTTTCTCACCCACCATGCTAGAAATCGGGCAGTTGAGTCCTTGCCGTGTCTGGCTTAGCCATTTTCCTGTTGGTAATGGAGTCACTTAAGGAAAACATTTTGTGGGTGCAACCTTGTAAGCATCTCTAGCCAAGACGAAGCAGCCGCCTGTACTTCAGTGCCATAGGAACAGGCAGTGCGTGTTGCAGCAGAGCAGATACTGTGTAGGAAGTGCACTGTGTAGGAAGGCTCTGATCTCTAGCTCCTCGGCGTACAGAAAGGCCTTGAGCGCGGGCGTTCAAACCTCCAAATAGCCTATTTGCATCCTTGGGCCAGGCCCCCAGACTGCAGCTGTGAAGGTGCAGAGCCTGGATCCTCAGCTTGGGATCCCCCTGGACTGGGGGGTGGGAGGGAGGGGTGCCGCTTTGAGCCACAAGCCAACACTGCTAGCCACCTTCTGATCAGAATTCCCAGCTCTCCGCATGGAAATCTGTTTGGCCTGTCCTGCAATGCATGATGGGAAGTTTTCTCCCCCTCTCTCACGCCACCCATGACTGTTTTGTTTTATTCTATGTGCTGCTTCTTACTTTATCCTTTCAACCTCTTTTCCTTCTCTGCACAGATATTATAGGCACGCTAAGGCCGGATGAGAAGGCCATAATGACCTATGTCTCATGTTACTACCACGCCTTCTCAGGGGCGCAGAAGGTGAGACTTTACCACTAACAATCCCCTCCCTGCCCTGCCCACCGCTCCTCTCCACGGAGGAACGTGCCAGACTGCCCCCCCCCCCATCCGCCCCAGGGCGTTTGCAGGGAAGCCCAGCACATCCAGCGATGCACTTAGATGTGCCATCTGTAGTCTTGCTGCAGATGTCAATGTCCTTTCAGACAGACTGGAGCTGCTCCTTCCCTCCAGTTTCACACCCCAGTGGTGGAGAAAGCATTTGGTAAAGCTGGCATCAAAAGATGAGTGAACAGCTGCTCTGTCAGAGTCAGTACCCTTTCCGTGACTAGTGTGCATATCATCCTGACCAGGCAACGTGCCTCCAGAAGTACCACAATCAAATCAGCCTACCCCAGGAAATCACAGCCTGTCCCCCTTGAGCGGCCACCCTGCCTTCCACACTCAGCCCCTGCTAGGTCAGTGGTCTTTTCCTAGGCTGAATCATCTGTGTTCTGGTTATATAGCACTTTTGTGCTCCAGCCACAAAGTCCATTCCTACCAGGCCTTGAGCTTTCCCAAACTCACATGCTTCTCCATTCCTTCCTTCACCCTGGTCATCCTCGTCTGTTTCCCAAAACACCTGTATGTTTTATTTCTCTTTCCTCTGCTTTGCCCATTTCCATAACTTCAGCCCTTCTTCCTCTACTTTCTCTTTACTCTAAAGTCTCTTTGCCTGGCATTAGGACATTTGTCCTCAGAAGAACCAAACAGTCACAGTTCGCCTTTGGGCAAACTTCCCCCAAACCAACAATTTCCCTGCAATCCTTTGAATAGAAGAAAAAAGTCCATCCTTTCCTCCCATACCATAGCCTGGCTGGGCTGCAGCCTTTCCACAAAATCACTGCTAATTTCACATTGTACGCTTTGGAACAATAAAATCTGAAGTTCAAGACTGCATTCTTCATGTTAGGAACAGATGTAAATATCAACCTGTTTCCCCCAGCCTCAACTTCTTTCTCTCACTGGGCCTTTTCTATTTGAGACATAGTCCATGCATTGCCCAGCTTGAGGACTAACTTGACTCCAGGAGGAGTCCATCTCTTTTGTACAAATCAGCGCTGATGGTTGCAGTGCTGATGCAGATACCATGCTGATGCTGGCTTTCAGAGGGCAAACACAGACAGTAGGTTCTACAGAGCAGCTCTTTAGTTGAAGCTTTTTGTTCTCTGCTCTGTTTCATATAAATTATGAGATACTGTCTTGTTTCCAAGGAACTGGGAATATGTCCCGCAGCAGTGCAGTAGACTTGCCTGTTTGGCATAATTTGTGTAGTCATGATTTTTCTGCTAGGATTCTGCTTTGTGAATAGTTCAAAACCCCTGAGATCAGGCTGCAAGCTCCGGCCAGCTGATACTTGCCCAGGAAGATAGTAGTCTCAGAACTTAGGCCAGCCCGGCGATAAGGCCTGCTGTTTGCCAGGTGCCCCTGAGGAACTGCACCATGCTGTCTGCTTAGCCTGAAGAACTCCAAATTGAGGAAACAGCAAACCACAATACGAAGAGTGTTGTGGCCTGCTGCAGGAGCAGTTGTGCCCCTCGACAATCCCTTCTTCTTCTCTCTGTGCCCATTCCACCATTTGGAAACCTGCTCAGCAGGTCCCATGCTCTCATCAGCAACTTGGATACTAGGTCTCCTGGGATAATTGAAACCAACCTTTTACTGCCTCAGGACCTGAAGCAGGTAGCTGGGGCAAGAACTAGAGATGGAGCTTCTTAGTTATTAAAGCTTCAATTCCATGTAGTCTAACTGGCTTATAGGGGAGATTAGAGATTTAATAATTTATTAATTTTTTAGCAGTCATGATGGGCCAGCAACTCAACTGTGCCCTGGCAGGATGGGCACGGCTCCTTTTGTAGCTGCCCTAGCCGTACATTAGCCAGCTGCTGAGTGACACAGATTCAAATCCCTGGGTGAATGCAAAGTGATTACTGAGTACAAGCCCCAGTCCAAATTGTAATGTGTTGCTGCCTCGTGCATGGTTAGGTGACTTACTGTGGTATTGCTCCATTTTTCATTCAGATTTTTCATTACTGCCACCAGTCCTGAAGGGGAAGTCCCATGAGCTGCTTTCTGCTTCTTTCACTCTCTTATACTGAGCCTTTGAAGGTACAGGGTCCCCAGCCTGACATGTGTGTGTAGATGGCTGCTTTTCTTTATGCCATTTTTATATATATATATTTGTAGGTATACTTGCTTTCATTGGTTTGCTTGTTTTCTAACTGCTTCTGACTTTCACACTAAATGCATGCAACTAGTGGTTGGCTTAATATTTTGTAAACTTGATTTCTGGGGTGAAAATTTCTAACGTTTTACCATTTTATTAAGAGATTGTCTTTGGCATACAGTATTCTGGGGTGGTCCTCTGAGGGCAGAGGACAGCAACAGGCAGGCACCTTCCCTACATAGCACACTGTGGGAATGCCTGCCTTTATGATCCTCCTGAGCGAAGAGACCTGGAGCCATGAGCTAGAGAGACAGCTAACTCCACTTCCATCCTAAGCAGCCCAAGTTAGGGTTGAGAAGTACAGAAAAGACAAAAGGCAGAGAAATTACTGCTACTTTGGCTATTCAGATTTCTATTTTGAGTCCACCAAACAGCACATGCATATCACACAGCAGTGCGGTATTGAGCAAAATACCCTGGGCTTGCCCTCCCCACAGTGCAAGTAGCATGATGTGTCAGCACAGTGCTGCACTGAAGCTGATCAGCTCACACAGGTTCTCTGAGAACGCAGATTTACAGCTTTCAGACCCCAGGATGGTGCGTCTTCTCAATGTTGCTCCATGCCTTGTGAACATCCTGGCTTGTTTGGAGCCAGTGTGAGCATCCTAACTGCATCATTGTCTTTAGCAGTGTGAGGAAGCCAAAATGGCTTTTTCCACTCCACTAATGAAGGTATAGGGGGAACCATCTTGGCCTCATGTAAACATCTTAGTGTGCCACTCTTCTTTTACCTGAAAGTGTTTCACTGAGGTTGCCATCACCGCAGATCAGCTCATTAGCAGCATTGTGGGAGGTATTTATGGAGGTTACCTGAAAGCACTGGCATCCTTTTGTCCTACCTAGCTCAGAGCAAGTCAGTGTAACACATTGCTCATGACATTAATGGTGATAATGGCTATAGAGCCTTTTCTGCCTCTGCTGCAGCAGCACACTGTTGTGCAGAGCAGTCTGGAGTAGGCAAGAACCATTGGGAAGCAAGTACTAGTAGAGGAGAGAAAGCCTCTACACTTCAGCTGTTAGGATAATACAAATAATGTCGTAATTGCTGACATTCAGAGGGCTTTTGTGTTTGGACAGATGTTCAACATGCATATATACACACACACATTTAAAGACTTGGGCAGCTGCAGGAAATCTATGGTCAGATGCATGTAAATATGCCTCCGTGGAATGGGGTCCCTCCTGCGCAGCTGGCTGTTGCTGCAGTGAGCTCCTGGAGTGTAAAAAGAAGAAAGTTAAGAGTGTGCTGGGACCTCTTCTCCTGGGACAATTGAGATAAACATTTGGCACCACCACTTCCCTGCAGTCACTAAGCACATCATGGTAGGGCTCTGGCAGTGTCTTGTTGACATGCTATTTGATCCCGCATCTATAAAGTTTTCTCTGGATATCAAAAAGCACTCCATTAAAGTACAAACTTTGGTTAAAACAGATCAAAGAACAAGCTTTCTTGAAGGTAACCATCATTTGCACTTTTTACAGATTTCTTTTTTTAAGTGAAATTGCTTTTTCTCCCATACAGGTCCCTCTGATATGTTTCAAATTAGTTAATACCTGTGTATCTGCTAGCTGGCCCACTTTAGTGAAGGGACAGATGACTGAATATGTGTTTTTACAGCTTCTTACCAATGAATAAGATTGACAGATCCCCTGGGACCTTAGTAATCCATGTATCACTGTATAGCCTCTGACTTTATTCTTGATGCCTTGCATCAGCTGCAAAAATTAGAGGATTTTTCTCAAATGGCCTTGAAGATTGAATAAACAGATAATAAAAGGTCTTTTAAAAATAGAAAAAGGTTGAAACTCGCCAGCTATAAGCTCAGCAAAACTTTTGGCATCGGTCCCACACATAGTTTTAAGGCAAGACACAGCATTCTCAACGGGGTCTGTTGTAGTGTTGGCATGCACCCTCTCCTCTTCATCTCCACTGAGCCTGTGTAAGGAGGACTACTCCATAGGGGTCCTACGGGTAGCTCTAGCATCTTCCGCCAGGGCGATAGCTGCACTGTGGCAAGAGGGTGCTGAGCTGTCCCCTGGCACCCATCACAGGGGCACATCTTCCAGGGCTTTGTGGCATGGCATCACCATGATAATGATAAAGGGAGGTGATAGCCACAGATATATGCTGTATGTTCCCCATGCCAAACACATGCATGGCACTCCAGGGCAGACTGACTGCTCCTGAGTTCATAGCTGGGATTTTTGTCATTCTTACTTTGTTCCAAAATCATGTTTTAACATGTTCAGCTCCCTGCAGAGAACAAGGTTTCTGTCCCACAATGGAAAATAACCCCTAAATAGTAACAACAGGCTCTTTTTTTATGAGACTTGTTTTGGGAGAGTAAGCAGAAAGACTACCCACAAAAGGAAAAAAAAGTCCTCAGCTGGATCATGAGACCCTGAATACATGGTGTCATGTGGCAAGATGCTGGAGGAGGTGGCCCTGTAATGAGCGCCAGAAATACAGGGAAAGCTGAAAGACAGCTCTGCTGGGCAGAATTTAAGGTTAAGAGGAGTATCTACCACTTTATTTTCCAAACACAATTAGGAATTTTCTGAAGTCCAGTCTATGGATTAACTCTGTTTAAGTAGTTCTTTCCTAAGGTGAAAGTATGTAAAGGGTCTCATCAGCTTGACACCACTCAGTTACTGATGTTGCAGCTCTGAATGCTGGTGAGGGAAGTGGAGGTGGTGGCAGAAACCCCCTGTCTTTCTAAAGAGGCAGCCAGGGTCCCTCTGGTAGGAAGTAAACAACAGGACCCTCTCGTAGGAGCAGCTTCCAAAAAGGCATAGAAATGCGGCTGTCACACAACACATAGGGTGGGATCAGTAGAGCTGAGAATCTCTGAAGAAATGTATTCACCTGAGAAGGGAAAAATAAATTATTATAGAAGGTCGGCTGAAAAGCAAAGATGTCAGGACAGACATTTTGAAGCACAGACAGGTTGCTAGAGCCAAGGGTAGGAGTCTTTACCTGCAGGTATGTAGCAGGAAGCTAAGCTGCAGGCTTTGGGTTTGGGGTTTTTCACACTTTTCCCTTCTGTTTTCCTTCTCTTCGTCAGGCGGAGACAGCGGCAAATCGTATCTGCAAGGTGCTGGCAGTCAACCAAGAAAACGAACAGCTCATGGAAGACTACGAAAAACTGGCCAGTGATGTAGGTGTCCATGGTGCTGTTGGTTTCTAGGTGGTGGTATGTGGAAAGGAATTGCATTTAATGCTGATAGCTAATCTTGGAGAATGTTGTTGGCCCACGTTTCCCTGGAAAATTCTTTTTTCTTCCCTTCTAGCTTGAGAAAAATGAAAGATCGAACTCACCTTAAAGGCAAGAGCAATCTATTTTAAAACAGAAAGCTTCCATGGAGCAGCTTTGAGTTTCTCAGTTTATTAAGAGCAGCTGCAGAAATGCTAAAATTGAAGTTAAAAATCAAGCTGGTTTAACTTGCATTCCTCAGGGCTATACAACTTCACATCTTTCATACAAATTGTATGCTGATACACTGTGGAAGTCAGGACTTGGATCAGAGAGAATGGAAGTTAGAGATAATTGAGGAAAGAAATATGCATTTGCTGATAGTTGGAAAGAATCTGTGTAAGATATAAGCTGGAGGCTGCTGTGGTTAACTGAGAAGGCTGACAGATTGACAGCTGTGAAACTACAGAAGTGACCAAATGTGGACTGGAGTATGTATGTACAAGATAAGTAGGGAGGGGAAGATGGAGAACAGAAGGACAAACATAGCCAGCCCATGAGCCTGGTTTCATCCTAGTCTGAAAAGCATAGGACATTACTCCACTCACACTATAGACTGCCCATTGCATTAGCCAGCATTTTGCTGCCCCCCCAAATAGGTTTGCTAAGGAGGGCTATTCAAAGAGCAACACCAACTTCTAGGAAATTAGAGTGGTAAAAGTGTAACTGGAGGCAAGAACTTGATTTCTCCTGTCAGACCCTTCTAGAGAGAATATGACTTACACCACCCTTTAGTTATGCAGTGGTCCAGCAAAACTCTACAGCTTTACTGTAATCTGAGGGCATGATTTGGTCCTGATTATGTGAAAGCTATGCCTTAAGCATGTTGGATTGGCAGTGCTGCAACAAGCAGTACTACTTAACATGGTAGGGAATGGGCTGGTCTTATAAAAACCAAAAGTACTTCCAAAAATGATGGCAAACTTTTCTTTACAAGTCCTGCTGGTGGCAGAATCTTTCTGACAGCAAACATCAAAGTAAACAGTCCCTAATGAGATCAGAGCAACACCTGTAGTTTTAACACAGTTTCCAGTTCAAGGCTTCTTGTCATTGCTCTTTCCAGCTGCTGGAGTGGATCCGTCGCACCATCCCCTGGCTGGAGAACCGGGCCCCAGAGAACACCATGCAAGCCATGCAGCAGAAACTGGAGGATTTCAGGGACTACCGCCGCCTGCACAAGCCCCCCAAGGTCCAAGAGAAGTGCCAACTTGAGATCAATTTCAACACCTTGCAGACCAAGCTGCGGCTCAGCAACAGGCCAGCCTTCATGCCTTCAGAAGGGAAAATGGTCTCGGTGAGTGGGGGTAACTGCTCGTATATACCTCAACCATGCTAAAAAATGGGACTCCCTTTCTGCCTATAGGTGGGTGGAGCATGCCCACCCTCAGAGTGAGCTACTCTGTGGTAGGAGCCCTACAGAAATATAGCTCAGTGAGGCCATAATAAGAGAGGATCAAGCAATAACTGCTTCCCTGTATCTAAACCAGACTCTGAGGCTCTTCACAAGTTACATGCCTTTATGAGGAGATGTCTCGGTGCCTCTCATTTTTTCTAATTGAAAAATGTTTGGGTTTTGTTGAATTTTCATGTGGGGAGGTGTTTTGAGAGGGACTCTCATGCAGACAGGTATATCCTGACTTATCCTGCTTATCTTAAGTCTGGTACTTTGTCTTCCTGACCTGTCTGCACAACCCTGTGAGGTTAAAAGGCCTCATCCACTCCCTCCAACCAATTAGAACCATGTAGCTCTTGGAGACTGATGCTGATGTACATCTCCCCCCACATCTTCTAACCTGCCTTTTCTTCTCGTGCTCCTGTCTCTAGGATATAAACAATGCCTGGGGTGGCCTAGAGCAGGCTGAGAAGGGCTATGAGGAGTGGTTGTTGAATGAGATCCGGAGGCTAGAGAGGCTGGATCACCTGGCAGAGAAGTTCCGGCAGAAGGCATCCATTCATGAGTCCTGGACAGATGGTAATGCCAACCTACATGCTTTCTGTTGCCTGACATAGTGCTGTCCATTATGTGGGAAGGAAGAGATGGATAATGCATAGGTCCTTCCATGAGATATTCCTCTCAAGAATGCTAGGTTCATTTTTTCTTTTATCAGAAAAAAATGCATAAAAATCAGCTTGATCTCTGTTCTGCTACATCATGTGGCCACATCGGCATTC